CATTAATTATGCAGGATGCGGTGGTATTCGTGGTAAACCCGATAGATTTATTCCTCGTACGAAAGAAAATGTAACGTGAAATCAAACTGCTCACTCCACGAAATCGGTGCATAACACTTCGTGTGGCCCTCTCGTTGGTTGACGTGTCTGACCATTGCTAGGTATTTCTACTGGCGTTGGTTCGATACGACTACATCGATTCAATATAATTACCATGACATTATATTTAAGTGTAGATAGTAATTGGTATGTCAGAGAAAGGACGATACAAACTTTTTGTAGAAATTAACGTTTCACTTTGAATAATTTGTGTCAGATTATTTAAAAAAATGCTCTTAGACCTCCATTAACACACCAGTTATTATTTACTATCTACCTGTATTAATGCTTGCAAGATGCATTATTATCACTTTTTCATTTATATTTGCCCGCAGCAAATATTCGATTTATATCGAACCGATCCCTCTTCGACTGAACGAAGCGCTCAAGTAGAAATCTCCAGTAATAGTCAGACATAGCCAAATCCAGCTCGACGAATCCTCAAATCTCATTCCCTCGCAAAAGAAACATTCTACAAAAATACTATTCCCCATTTTCTATTTACCTATCCTCTCCTAGCATCGGTCCGTTTCCAATATCACCATAAAATACACATCCTGTATTAGCAAAAGACCTGCCCAACCCCTATTTCCTGCAGCGCAAACGTTCATCGAAAATCCATTCTCAGCCGAAAAAGAAAATCTGTCGTGTACACGGCGCCCGTTTCCGCGTTCCCAAACGCGATCCCGTTGACCCCAATTCGTTAATGTAAATAACAAGATCGATTACGGGTAGGGTCTGGTCCATTTCCCACCGACATCGACGTAAACCATAACTCGAGAGCGATTAGTGGCCCCATGGCTGGACTGAGAGCTTGCGAACAGCCATAATTTGAGAAACACTGACTCGTGGAACGTCGGAGGGCCACGAAAGATAATTCAGGACAACTCGAAGGACAGAAATGCGCGAGATAGGGCTGCTCCAGGATTTGGCAATCGCGTTAACTCCATGATTCGGTCTGCTCCGCGTTCAGCCTCCCTCTCCCACACTTTGCGGTCGTCGACTGCCAGGTGACCCGGTTGTTACTATTCAAGAGTCAAGCCCGGAAGTTAACTTCACACTCGAGGGTACCCCACGTCTCTTGCTGCAGACTAACTTCGCGATGCAGTCGAACGAGGTACGAGGACACATGTTCATGCGTTCGCGTGCATAAGCCAGGCATGAGATCTGTCAGTGGCTTAAACTCTGAGACCCTTGAGGAGGGTGAGTATGGAGTCAGGAGGTAAGAACCCAGGAGGAAAGATCCTTAACGCTGTTGGAAAACAGAGTTAAACGGGACTTTAGAGGGTGGAGATAAGGGAGGGTTGGATATTACTATCCCTGTGTCCACTGGGTGGCACTAGAAGAAGTATAATAGAGTGTCTGCAAGGAGTTTAGAGTGTCTTTGAATCTGATAGGTTGGTACCTTTAAGGCTTTGATACTCTCGAATGGTATGCACAGATATTATATTAATCGTTAGTGACTTGGTTAGTGATTGTTATTGATTGAGGTTTTATTAAACTGCCGTGAGCTCACACGTGTCTTACTTCTTTCATTAAATGTTTTTTTGACATCAAAATCCTCGCAATATTAACGACAAACCACCTATTATTATCTTTCCCCAAGATTCTTCTCCTTTAGCCCGAGTAATTACAATAACAAGAATTAGATAATGCAATTCAATCGCGAAATTCTGCATGGTAAGTGGTTAATTCGAAGTTAGCCAATTCGATGCATCAGGATAACTCGGATCCAGCGCCCTGTCGCGGATATACAGACCTGACAGAAGGGAAATGGGACTTCATTGGCAGGAGATCGACAAGGCTGCTATCGGCATTAGCTGTGTACACTGTTTCCTGACGCCAGAGAATATTATCGAGGGCGAGCATGCCACGATCGAGAATTACTAGCTAACGAAGTGGAGTCAACATGCGTGAAATCTACTTTTCCAGAAGAAATAGATGGGTTACTTCGACGAACTGTGAAAAGCTCTTACCTCGATCAAAGTCGAGTGGAAGAAGATGCTAAACGTAAATACGTGGTGAATTCTGCCTGGCAATTTACAGGACGTGGTAGATCGCATTCCAAACAGCGCATTCGATGCATTTAAGGTATCGAGATTTGTTGAAATGTGCGAGAAAACGAGACAAGGGTTAACGATCCTTCTTCCTTGGCAAATAATGAGACGAAACGTTTGGAACCATGTTTAGTTTAGTCATTATTTCGTGTGAATTGTGTGAAAATGGTCTTGGAAGTGTAGCAGAGTACATTTCCTTGCTCGATAATGGGTGAATGGGGGATGAAAACAGGTTATATTCGCGTTAAAACGTTTCATTATACCGAATTAAAAGTTCCTAGTATACTCGTTGGTTAAATTAATATCAGGGTGGTCAGTGAGGCTCCTTCAGAGGCATAAATGGCGCCATTGAGACCTGCTCATTTCGTTTGTAGACTTCATTCAAATAACAGTGCGAGGGTGGTATTGGTCAGCCGTGCGTGTGGGTGGATTACCAGCACACAGGCTGCGAACAGCGTATGACGTCAATTATAAAACGTTCACTCTACCTGTAACCTTATTTTATATATTTTGTTTCCTGTTTCTGAATGTTATTTTATCTCGAATTTCACAAAATGAGATTTTGCTTTACATTTTACGAACTGAAAAACACCGACTCGTTAAACGGAAATAAAATTTAGATCGGATGCCACGTTTCTGACAGGAAAAAGAAACTAGTAGTTTGGTACAATTTTCGTTTGAATAGGAAAGACGCAAAATTCAACGTCCTGTACGTTTCAAATAAATTGGAATGCAGCGAAACGATGACTTAAACTTTACATAATTTTCCATGGACTAAGTTATACTTCAATTTCACCATGATACCGTACGTCTATCGGGGGAGGTGAACAATTTACGACTGAGTGATCCATAAGCAAGAATTCTAAGATTTAATCTATAGTCTACTATTTTCTAAACAAACTCTAAAGCAACAAAACCATGCCTAAAACCATTTCTGATTCCACAAACATTGCACCATAGAACTACGTTCACAATTTGCGCACCCTGACCCAAAATTATAACGTCTGCAAAAACCAAGAAAACTTCCAAGCCGCACTGCATGAAAGTTTCCCCGCCGTTTGTCTTTTTTTATAGAGAATTTAGTTTAGTCTGCATTAAAGTCGCCGGAAATTTATCGTGCCTCCCGTGAATCACAGTAGAGGCTTTCCAACGAGCTTCAAACATGGCGAACCTGCTCAAAGGGAGGTAACGGAAACCGAAGCAGGGTAAGAAGAAAAGCCGATCAACGACGACTGGAGTGACTCTAAGGTGGCCACGAGGATTTTCATTGATCGTCGAGCATTAAACTTCTACGCGTTGTTATCCTCCTTCGTCCACCCTGTTCTAACTATCCGCCTCGAACATTCGCGATACAGTCGGGCTATAAGTTGCACGCCTCGCTATAAATCCAACGACGATTCGGTGTGGCGGCGGCAGTTTAAATTTTAGGAGAGCCACGCGATAAACCACGTCCACGGTATCGTGCGTTTCGTCGCGCGTAACAACGCCGAAAGAAAATATTGCGGAGTTCGTTTTATCGGCGATATTTTCCGACGGGTCTCGCCACGGTTACTCATAATCCCAACGATTATTTTTGTCATGTGCAGTGCTCTGGTCGAACGGCGACTCGAGTAGAAATCATCTTTTCTTGTCTATCGTGACGGCTTAAAAATAACACCTTAATAAACCAGAAACACGACCATTTTTAAGAAACATATGCACAACTGAATAAATATTTTCTTAATCTTTAACATGTCCAGATATATTGTATAAAAGGAGAAGTCGGGGCTTGCATTGATTTCTTTGGAATTAATTTCTATAGAAGACTATCTTAGAGTCTCTTAACGGTTTTGGCTAACCGATATTACCCTCTTGTTTGCAACTGTTTCCTCATTCGAGTAAATTGAAGGTTGGGTAATCGCGATTGCTCTACGAATGGGACAGTTTAACGAGCCGCAAAAATAACAATGCTAGCGTTCTCCAAACCCACCTCTCGTTCCTTCGAACTTGGCGAAATCTATCTGGACCCGAGTCACGAATTCTCTCACCGAGTTCGTTAGCTTTTTGCGCAGTTTTACCTCGTTCGGGATCAAAGGTGGACGAGTTTGCCTGTTACGGAAGTCTCTCTGGCAAGAACTTTCATCCCCTCTTCGATTCTTAATCCAATGAGAGAAGCAAGATTAGCGCGAACTAAAGCATCGAGTTTATAGTTGGCGCAACAAACACAGAGATCTCGCGTAAGCTACAAGGCACCCAGACGATAACATCTTAACGTACAGCACCCTCGTGTGCAGGGTGCTAACAATTCTGGACCAGTTAAGGGATGCTTTGTGAACGCTGGGACTGTAACCATTTCACTGCTGAATTTCAATGGCAAGGGAAACCTCTATGTTGTAATTAATTTCCGACTTTATTGCTCGATAGCTGTGCTTGGAAATGTGTATAAAGATTAAGCGAAGAGATGAAGAATTTGAAGCCTACTTAAAACTTTGTACAAAACAAAGGTATCGTGTCACGTAGAATCAGAATAAAAATAAAGTAAAACGTATCTACATAGTTCAAATAAAACGAACAAAGTCTCAATGAAACCGATGAAACAATCGGATAAGAAAAGTGCCTCACACTTGAGTCAGCGATTCGAAACGGTGTCTTCAAACTCCCTCCAACTGATCGTTCTTACTAGTCACGTTTCCGCTCTTATAGCAAAATCCTCCTCCACCTTTGAACAAGAACGCGTCGCGCTTACGCAAATACTATCTGCCCGTCGCGAGACTACGCGACACCTCTGTACCTTCGCATCCCTATCCAACCTCCGGAATTCATCTTCGTAGACACGTGCAAATGTGTTATAAAACATGTACTCACAGCGTAGGATGAAGAGGACGACGATCCAGAGAGACAGGTTCCGAGCCACGTGGCGAAGATCGACGAGCAGTGGCCCCATCCTTGCGCACCGTCCACTCTCCAGACCTCCCTCGATCATGACACCGATTTCGGGGTAGAACCTCGAGGACGGATCGTCCACCGTCCGGTTCCTGGCCCCCGCGCGACTCTACCTTCTACTATGCTGCTCTCTATGCGTCTAGATTCCCGTGTGTAACGACTACTCGTCCCTATGTGTAACGCGATCCCGCACAATTGCGCGTGATCCTGTCTCTCGAGCACTCACCGCGTCGGGCGCCAGTGAGAGACTGGTAGCGTTCGGTTCCGCGCGCGACAGGTTCCCGCGATGATTCGCGGGTCGTTCGCGTTCGTACGTCCTCGGCCAGTATCGCCAACCCCTCGACTCGCGGTCTCAGACGTCCTGCGCCGAGGGTGAGACGGCCACGAACCACGGAGCCGCACGCACCCACACAGAGGGAGGTATCTAAGTACGCGTATATCCGCGAGGTTACGAGAACCACCGACCGCAGCTCAGCCAGTGCGCCAGGGAACCCTCCAGAGTTCTCATCCCTCTGCTCCCGTTATCTAGGTACAACTCCTCCCTCTTCGCGTCCTTGTCCAGCGTGCTCCCTACCCCCTCGTCCTGCGATAGCCGTGTTCCGTGCAGTATCCACCGCGTAACACCGTCGGGGATCACCGCCACCCCCTCGGCTCCCCAGTGTCGTCCAGCGTCCATCAAGCGACGACCTCAAAGAGCGAGGGAACCTCGTGTAACCTTACGCCGTCCCTCGTCGCTGCGAACGCAAATTAAATAGCGCGGCGAGAATACGGCGACGATTAGCCGCTCTTCTGGGAACTTGGTGTTCCGCTGGCCTGAAATTATTACTGTCCTATCTTCTCATTTTTTTCTATTATTCTGAATTAGTTTGGTAGTTGGAGACGAGCGCGCAGTTCCTGACCTCGATTCATTAACGCGTCGATTCGACTACCGCGCTTGATTATGTCGTCCTTTGAGGACGCGGCGACGAAAGCTCGACTGGTGGCACCGGGATGAACTGGAGCGGATAAATTGTTGCGTATTCCATCTTGTTTGATGCTTCGGAACCTTTGCGCTATGTGGCTTTCTCTTTGTATCTGTAATTGTTGAAAGGTTACATGTAATTACATTTGAGATCAGACGAATCGTTATTTCTGTAAGAATTATTGTTGTATACATTTTCAGGTATAAATGAAGTTCTGCTAGAATTTTATTATCAATCAGTGTTTTGAATAATCTTTAACTTCGACCACTTGGAGGAAGGTCCAGTAACAGTACGTCCTGCAAAATTCTCGTTACGATTTGGTTCAAGCGCTGAAAGGGTGATTCTATTTCATACTGCTCGTTGTTTTTGACTGTTACGCTACCGCGTATGGAAGAAACGAAGCCAGTAATTACGCTACCGAGGCAGATTGAAACGAGAGATTCAAATAATACTTCGCCGTTGTCCGGCGTTACTCGATAAAAAAGGATAAAACAAGGGAAATAGCAATGGTCAGCGAGTAGACAGTGGAAATAATTCGCGTTTACCTGGTTTTTAATCGCGAATCCTATAACGAAGAAGAGGCGTGGGATGATTTTATATGTATAAACGTTCTAGGTGAAAAATTTGATCGAATAACGATTCCCTCTCCGCCTCCCTTTAATTAAATTGCATTCCGTTCCTGTTTCCGGATTGTATAAACATTTCTTATTAATTCCAGCACGATATAATCGGGGAATATTATAACCGTGTTGATAATCGTCGAACGGGGACCGTACGTTAAACGAGACCGATGCGAAACACGTTAAATCGAGATGGAAATTCGATTTCGCGCGGGGAATTGTTTTCCAGGATTTCAGCCACGGTTTTCAAATGTCAGAGGTAAAGGTGAGCTCGATAATCGACAACAAGTGACCTCGTGCGCCGTCAAAGAGCGGTGGGAACTGTTATCCAGCGCTGTTGGCGCGGCCATAGGCGCAAATTAAATAGCAATAGAGCACACAATCGACTTGTAGTTTCGTCGGTTTATGTATATCGTCGACTCCACCGTATTTTTAACCGACTTCGAAAAGGAGGAGGTTACTCTATTCGACATGTATATTTCTTTTTTTCGATTATGTTTTCACGCAGAAGAAGAACGGACGAGGAAAAACTAACACGTCTTTCGAAGAATTCCAATATTATCGATATCGTGATATTGAAGCGTAGCTTTTAGCACATCCATGTATATTTACATTTAGATGAAATATCACGATGAAGTCAATAAAGTCTGTAAATAATAACAAATAAATCTTGTTTGGCAATCGCGAATTGATGAGGGAATTAAATGAAAAAGAAAAACAAATATTATCCGCAAACACTTGAAGGATGATAAACAAGATCAATAAGTATGAGTAGGAGTTTTTACGTAGTCCATATTTCGCTAAATTTTGCAAACCCTACTGTTCCACATTAAAATATGAAATTATCCTGGCTTGTACGGAAAGATCTTAAAGAACGCCTTAGTGATGCGCATGAGACGAGATAAATCTCGATCTCGTCTCGATTTCGAGATGTGATTCGAAATCGAGATTACTTGTAACATTCGAGATCGATATCCAGATTTTTCGAGATCAAGATCGAGATCGTAGAAATCACGTCTCGTCTCGTCTCGTCTCGTGAGCATCACTGAAAATCATCCTCGAATACTCATGGTATACGCAATGGCCGAGCCACTTTGTGGCATTCCAATTTCTGTAAATCGTACATGATTAACTCATCAGCACTTGGCTCTTCGCGATTGCTAGCAAACTGCTGCGTTAAGGGATCATCGCAATCAAGTTTCGCCGTGGGGAATAAGTGAAACATCAAAAGCGCGACTCGCCCCGATCGATGGATATCTTTCTCCATCCGTTGGACAGAAATTTACACAAAATGAATAACGAATATTGGAGATAGAACGCTAACGGACAGTTAAATGAAGGAATTGTTCCTGCAGATTGTAAAGAATTGAAGATCGATGAAACTGAACGTTAACGTTGACGAGCATACAAAAGACGACAATTAATATTATATTAATAATTTACCGATTAAATACCTCAACTTATGACTATACCACATACTTGAAAACAATATAATATAATACCACGATTATTTATTCAATTTTAAATCATCGAATTTTTAAATACTGGTCCCATTGTCCTGGATTTCTCTCTCCTAACGTGGCGTCATTTTTCCAACTCTAGTTGGGAAGAAAGGAGTGTCGAAAGCTACAAGTGTTTCGAGAACGTCATCAAAAGCTGCCGTTCGATTCGCAGAACAACAGCGGCCGCCATTATATGAACAGATTGAAGTGGGATTTTTATTGGAAACTGATACGCGGACTCCGCGCTCCGTGGAACGAAATCTATTGTCGTCGCGGCACGAAGCGCGCCCGACCACGCAAATTGTTGGGGAAACTTCGACAAGAACACACGTATCCGTGGATCATTTGTAGCTACAGGCCCTTCCATGATTACCTTGTTTCAGGGATTATTTGTTGCGATCGCAAGGAGCGAGCGTGACCGCTAACATCTATCTAAAAGAGGATCGCGGGGCCACTGTTTTGCGGTGAATTAATGTCAAGAAAAGGGCGCAAGATTAATCGACTCGCTACTATATCGTACCTAATCTTCTCGACTATCGCCCTGAATTAAAACAAGTGAGAAATGGAATCAAGGATCGCGACAGATAAACAATACTGGATAGCTTCACAAAGATCCATTTTGGAATCATCTCAGAATTTTTGATGTTTGTAATCTCCCTTTTAATTTCTCACCTATTTCGTGCGATTAAAAGTGGTCTCCTCCGACGTGAGCTCGAAAACCTTGCAGTTCCAGTGTGCTATTGTCTCCTTCTTCGGAACTAACGAAAAACCATTTGGAGTTACTTATAATTCAAAACTAAATGAATTAAATAGATGAAGGAACATACGTAGGATCAGGGATTAAACGAGCCTTGGATAATGGATCCTGAAACTTAGCGGACGTATTGTTCTCGAAGATGTTGAGCATTTTCACATCAGCATGCTGGAAAACGAGGAAAGGAATATGAACAACCGACAGTATTAATTTTAGTAGACTACATGAGATCACCATAAATGTATATATTTGTTACATACATATATCAGATATCACACATCAAAGTACATATACATATATATCTTTCACATTGATTGACCGTCAAATATACCTACATATAGATTGTCGAATACTGACGAATACTGAGCAATGAAATAATCGCGCAACAAAGGTATATATCATTGAATATCATCGTTCCAACCATTCAAATAATACGTGTAAACATTAATTCTTGACTCTTACAGGATAATTTAAACAGTACAGATTCAATCTAATCTGTTACCGTCTCAGTAACATTAATACAGCGAACAATACCAGAACATCTATATGCAAGCGAGAACACGATCACGTTAATTTTTTACTTGTTAAAATTTAACTTAACTTTGCTCAATTTATTATCTGCTTGTCGATACTTGCATCAATTTGTTCTCGTAAGCAATAATTCCAATCCCTTCGACGGAGTCAGCGACCGTGATTGAAAAATCGTTTAAACTTCGCCGAGGAATAAGGTTAAAGCGATATACCGGGTGAGTCACGGAATCGGTCGCAACGATATTTCAGCTGGCTCTGGTGGTTCTACGAAAAAAGTTCATCGACGTCAGACGAAGAATTTATTAATGCAAAAGGAAACCTGCAAAAATAGCCTTCTTCCATTTCAGAAGAATGCAATCACCTTTTTCTAAAGAACACCATATATTCTTCTTTTCAAATCTTTAAACTACAAATAAAAGGAAACGATCTAATAATAATATATTTGATTTCAATTGTCTTGGAGTCATTTAATTTACGTCTAAACTACGATCCATGTGAGTTAAATTACAAAAAAAAAAAAAAAAAAAAATACTTAGACTTCGAAGCATTAAGTTTACCATCCACCTTGCTCCATTTATATCGTTTCAGCGTGTCGTGAAGAAATCCTGAACGAACGCTTTAATTACGTCGAGTCCAGGATTTTAGGGGACGGATTTCGAGGGCAAGTATCGCGCAGAACTTTTATCTGATCATTTGTCCTCGATCCCAACGAAAATACGGGTACGTCGTAATAATAATCACGGGCGGCTACGTGAGTTACGCGCGAGCGAGTAATTTAAAAGATAAACACGAGATACAAATTACACCGGGTGATGGGGAGAAAAAAAAAAAAAAAGAAAAACGAGACAATCGCGAGTTGAGTCAGGAGCAGGGATAACGCAATTTAAAGCTGCAACGAAAAATACGAGCGTTACGCGAAGCTTTCGCGAGCAAAGATTGCGCTCTGAATCTAGCTGCGATTTCTGTAATTGCGACACGAATGCGGCGTTAACGGTTTTAATTAAAATAAACGGTTATACAATATCGTAAAACCACCATAAGCTTGGCGACCAAATTGGTGGTCCTTCGACATTTTCATTAAAATTTGTATTCGCGACTAATCGATCGTAACGTCGTCAAAGGAATCACTATTAATTTCAATGAGGAACAGTTGTGTCGAATTTTCTAATTTCGTCACATTTCTGCCGAGTCTTAATTAACACTGCACGACGTTAGGAATCTACAATGAACAGAGAACCCTATTGAAAGTGGCTAACTCTGCGCAATTTGGACGCTTGATTCGAATAAAAAAATATAATCCGGTTTACGTACTCGCGGTAGAAAAATAAGCTTGACGCCTCGTAAAAAACTGTTCGTCTAAAAACTGTCTTCGTTGAAATCATATTTTTCTAAGTACAATATTGAGCAATGATGTTCCAACTCCTCTATCCGTTCAGTTAATATTTAAGTAAAACATTTTTAACTCAAACAGCGGCTACGAAATCAACGAGTACAGAATGGCCTCGTTTCACAGAACGTGTAAACGAATTGGTCCAATGTTTCCAATTCGACTCGAACCGATACCACAGTATCATCGATTCGAAATGAAAGCAATTTGTCGACTAGATATGGTCACTCGTGTCTCTCCAATGGACCAAAGACCGACCGTCTTGTATTCTCGTGCGAGGCACATAAATACACACGTACACACTTTCGCGCATACACACACGCGCGCGTTTTCCTGCAGCAATCAACGTGCTAATCAAGCTTTTGAATCAATTCAAAGGGTACAGTTTCCTGGCAGACGGAAGTTAAGACGAACTTCCATTCCCATCGAAAGGGTTATTATAACGACGAGCAATACATCACAACTACTATCGCTTTTACTAGTCTGTATGTGTTGGACGATCTGTATTGTACCGTACAATTCGCAACGGCGCTTGAAACTCGACAATTTTGTCGCGGTACGCGTTTATGTACTCACGAGATACAATTGATACGATTGTGGTCGATAATAGTTTTCCATTTACCTTATTCGATAATATCACACTGAGAGGGTTTATACGGTTAAACATGTATCCACAACACGGTTAATCACAAGTACGTTGAAAGAGTACACGTAAAAAGAAACGAGTAATGTGTTTCAGACGTGTCCAGGCTAAACTCTTACCAAGTGAAATGACGGGAAATTCTCGCGCATGCGCTCTGGTGATGGCGCGTTTACAAGCCAAGATTGATCGATGATCGATATGCGTATACCGCCTGTAGGCATAATGACCAGGGATGGCGTGAAAAATCACTAACAATGATATTTCACGGTGATCACACAATCACGATCGCAGTCGTGATTAAACTTCGATCACAACCGTGATCCGAAAAATGGCGTTTCAGAAGCGGGTGCGCAGGACCCAAAGCCAAACTCCGAGTTGACCTCAGCGACAGTTGCGGAAAAAGTAGAAAACTCCGGGATAAGGACAGAGAGGGGGATACAAAAATTTCAGGAGAGACGAGGACAGGACGATTAGGCTAGCATGATCTTTTTTCCAGGATATTGAAGCAAAGAATTTTCAATATATTCGTTACACTTTGGCGGATGCGTCTCCAAGGCCTGATTTTGCAATTTCGGTCTTAAAACTTTATAAGCAATAAAAGTATGTTTGCTATCTTCATTTTATTGCTTATAAAGTTTTAAGGCCGAAATTGCAAAATCAGGCCTTGGAGTCGCATCCGCCAAAGAGTAACGAATATATTAAAACCAGAATTATTAAAAAATATTGCTTCTTTGCTTCAATATCCTGGAAAAAAAATCATGCTAGCCTAATCGTCCTGTCCTCGTCACTCCTGCAATTTTTGTATCGCCCATTCTATCGTTATCCCTGAGTTCCCTACTTTTTCCGCAACTGTCGCTGAGGTCAACTCGGAGTTCCCCTTAGCGGAAATTCAAGAAACTACAAATCAGTCAAATTTAAATTGTATTAAAATTATATTAACATTGCTTTTAGACCATATTATAATACATATATAACCTAAAAACAACGTAATTCATGAAAAGTGAAAAGAATGTTTTCAACCAATTAGAAGCGATCACGAAGAATCACGAATCACTGTGAAAAATCATCGTGATTGAGAATGAACGTGATTGAATCACGAGTGATTCAAAAGTAGCAGTTCACTCACGCCATCTCTAATAAGGCCCCCGAAAAGCGCCCTCTACACTCTAAACAACTAGAGCAACTAAAGCCCGCCAAAAAGAATCGCTCAAAGCGGGTATTTTGAAACTCTATACTTTTTGTTTTAATAAAAACAAGAATTGGACTTTCAAGACCTTAGTCTGGATACTTCTGACGACCTTTACTATAAGAGTACTTTCAACTTTCAGATAAAGACGAGTATGATTATGTATGCATTTCACAAAGTGCACAGCTTTTTTGTAGCTCGATGTACGTGAATCAAGTAATCGAAACTGTAGGCGTTTTCTTGCTTTCCCCTTTTCGCTTATTCTATCTTTTACTTGTATCTTTATATTAATATTCTGTATTAATTGATTACGAGATAGGTCTGTATCTTTCTCAGTTCAAGACCCTTCATTTAAATAGCAAGCCATTTATTTTCTTGACGTGCAGACCGTAAGCTCGAAGCAAACGGTTCCGTCAAGTCATGACGACCAGAAATTTTAAGAGAAAAATGAGTCGAGTCAGGTCTTGTGACTTGGAAAATTAAGACCGAATCTTCTACCATATTAAGCCCATTTATAGAAACGACTTATAATATATGCCACGTCTAATACAGATATGTTATACATCGTACATTTAATGATTAATTTACCTTCATATTTGTATGCATACGTGCAATCGTAAACGGATTCAAACAGAAATAAAAGAAACCAACCTGTTCTTGAAGCTCTTTTCGCGTTTGTAAACAAAATCTAAATTTCCATTGTGCCAACGAAACTGAACTTTTTCGGTAGCAGAAATGCTAATTTTTTGACAGCTAATAATGAAGAGTGATACTTCTACAGCAAGCACACAATCTAATTACTCAACTGAAGAAATGCGCGAGCTTCAATATAATTCGAGGCGCTCTCTAGTGCGTGAATGCCATACTACTTATCGACTATTCGGCCGAAATATATTACCCACTGCATGTAACAAGGAAATCTACTGATGTAGTACAATTACGTGCCACTATTTTATAATATGATAAATTTTAAACAATAAAAATGCATAGTATCAGACGAATTTCAAAAGTGAAACAAGAATTCATTAGAGAAATAATTTCTCAGCGTTGAGCACTATCTAAAACCATTGAACAGATTTTCCATCTTTTACCTAGAAACACATTCCATACGAATTACATTGTTATTACATTATTATATACGTAAACACACAGAAAACATTTAAATTTTATATTATACTTATTAATATAGACTTAGACTACTTATATTATTGATATATTGTACGGTTAGACAGATAACATATATGCAGTGAGTTGGCCATGCCAATACAGTAGTGAATTAATGCTATCTTAAATCTAAACGTAGTATAATCACATTCAAGTTATAATTTAGTATTTTTGATTAAATATCAATAATCCGTTCAACTTAAAGATAGAGTGGATATAAATAATACTGCTTCGCAAAACAGTATCCCATTGGTCCGCTGTGTTGACATTGCTGTGCTGACCAATGGTGTATCGTCTTATATATAGACAATCAAAGTATGAGAAACATGCATTATATGAATAATGTATGATTAATACAATCAGCAGTAATTCCATTTACTTGCAATCTATGTTTACATTGAATGGATAATATAATAGATGCGTCTTGCATATGGTTATATGTTCTATTTCTATGTATTTGACATCTATGAATATGCAGGCCGTTAATCAGAAATTGTAACAAATAGAATAGGGCCTTCGGGCCTGAAACGTAAATTGTAATATACAGACATTAATTGCAAAAAAGTTACTAAACATTTTCATGTAATGCGTTTTACTATATCAGCAAATTCATGAAAACTCACCAAAGCAGTGTAACTAGTTAGGTACCTGCCTTATCGTATTACAAAAGTTACTATACGAGTAACCAATCATGTAAGTCTAGAAACTTTCTCGATGCCGTTATAAAGACTATCTTGTAGTTACATGCTCCTTGACATAACCTTCCTTTACCGGCACATAATTTTCGAAAAATGTATTATGAAAGAATATTTAGATACTGTAACTTTTAATTCATTTATTTGATCCTTTCTAAGGCAAAAATTATTCTCTTATGACGTGAATTGTATTCGTGATGATATAGTGTTTGTAGGTTTAGCGAAATAGTGTCATGTGAAAACTACCGATCGTTTTAAATAAATAAAGTTAATTTCAACAGTGATATCAAAATCATTGAGAAGACAAAGCGTAGTTGACATCTACATTTGTCAAACAGAATATTATAAACATCCCCAAAATGTCAGAATTTCGAAATTTAGCAAATGCCATCAAACGATTGAAAAAAAGTGTTTCGGATTTTCCTATCGGAGCTGTCTCCTTAGATGATTACACACCCGTAGAGGAGAGAATCAGAAATATGCGAGAATTGCTCAAATTCTTAAATGCCAGATTAATTACACTCAAAGCTCATTATGAATTACGTATGTTATAAAACTACTAAATTAAACATACTATTTTTTTTTTCATAAACATAATTTTTAGATGATATTGTTCTAGAAACAAGGGATGAACCAGAAGAAGGTACAGAAAGTATAATAACATGTTTACATGAAGAAACAGCAAATACACTAATAACCGCTAAAGTGATTAAATTTATACTTCACACGGAAGCTATTCAAGCCATTCTAACAGGCAAGGAAGGTGATAGTGATATGCAAAAGTAAGAAGTTACAGAGTTAAGAATCAAAAAATGACTTGAGCAACAGTTTATTCAAATGTCAAAACAAAGGACTTGAAAATACTGAAACTGTTTAATTGAACAGTATTAATATTATTTTAGTAAAATTTATGACTTCCTGTGTCAACTATTTAGTCTTAATGACAAAATTATGTTTTCACAAACAACCATGCAAGATGCATTACAAAAGCAATTGAACTTGAAAATTGAATGTCAGAATACGATACTTGAATACAAGAAGTTCTTAAAGACCCAAGAGGAAATGCTCAGCAAACAATTACAAGAGACAAATCCTGAAATAGCTCGGTAAGTGTAAACATGTAACAATTTATTAATTACAATTTTACTTTTTTTTTGTTCAATTTTTGTTCTTTAGGCAAAAGGAAAAGACAAAGATACTATTGCAAAAAATTAACTTAATGAAAAAACTTATAGTAAATTTAATTGCTGTTTCCAATGACAAACTAAGAAATCCGTTTTTGTTTAAAAAATTACAAGAACATAGGGAATTAATTAGCATTGATACAGTTTTAAAAATGTCCCATGATATAACAGAAGATATAAATGCAAACACAAGTAGAGATGAAAACATAACAAATGAAATTTAGCTACTATAATTTTTTATTAACTGATTACTTTTGTACTTTTATATTTATTATTTAAATGCAATAGTTTCTAGAAAGAATTCAAATAATATATAGTATTAAACTGTTAATTTCAATTCAATTGGTATTTTTATACAATTTTATATTAAATGAATTTTCTGCAACAAAGGTCTGCATAGATCTGGCAAATAAAAGGAGAAATCTTGTATAAGAACTATATAGTGAAAATCTGTAACTTTCTTCTCTGTATTTGTTTCTTTCTTTTTTTTTCAAATATTGTGTTTCTACAAAAAATTTTCATTTTACTTGTGTATTTGCAAAGACTGAGATAATTGTAAAATATATTTAAAAAGCAGTTTTAGAACAAATGATATAGTACTTTTTTTTATGGATATTGTGCAGCGAATAATATATCGGACAACAAAATAAAAGACTTGAAAATCAAAGTTTTTTTGTATTTCTTCTATTTACTGCATGTTAATATAACCTGAAATTTTGGGAACAATTTGTCTGAAACATACGTAGAAAAAGAAGACAAAACAAGCTTGAAAGGTAAAGGTTATAACCAAAATTGCATAAATCAAAATGAAAACATACAAGACATTCAAGTATTACTCTTCTCTTGTTTTTCTAAGTGCACAGGCACAACACATATTTACAGAAACAGATTTCCCCGCACTTTCAATGTCTTTTTCAGTTCTATTTAAAGCAGTTTTATGAGACGGTTTTCTTTTTATGTACATGTATCTATAGAAACGTCATACTTACGACGATTTTATATATACGTATACATAAAATCGTTAAATAACAGTTTGTAAGCCAGTGATTACAAGTTAAAAGATAGGATTTCAATCACAGCTTACAAGTACGATAGAAATGTAGTATATGCAGGGGAGAGAGGTGTACATTTGTTGACAAAACTAATGAAAACCTTTGTTTCGTTTCATAAGTCGTATTACGTTGTTTACATTACGCGGATTCAACGCATTTTAATTTGTTTATGGTCCGGTGTGATTTTTCAGTCTCGTGTTTTTTCATCGTCAGCATTGCAAACCGCTCTCCGCCTTTCGTAGTCCTTACGCTCATTTATTTTTCTTTAAACACAGAATCGATCATCGGAATAGTACTCAAACAAATTTTAATTTCTATTTACATTAATTTCTTCGTCTTTAATTGTTCATTAGATTATGGGTTTCACAAGTGGAAAGAAAACGACGAGTCCACTAATTATAACAAAAAAGCACGTTAAAAGTGAACAATTTCGTTCTCGTTAATAATAGCATATCCTCGCAAAAACTTCGGACATCTGTCTGTTTTGTGTTTGTAGACATGTACGAAATGGACACTTCGAAGCATATTTGGACACCGTTTAAATTGTCTCTATAAATTAGCAAATAGAATAATTACGATCTCATGCTTCTTTGTCCAATTTCGTCGTAAAGAACACACCTCCACTTTCTCACTGGCATCGTTACGATTACGTGGTAATAAAATTAGTCGGTTGCTGCCGTCGGTGCGACAGTATCGATTACTGTAGTAATAATGTAGCTTATTAATCGCCATTATTGATATAGTTTTATGTATATGAATACGTATATATAATTTGAAGCTGATGCAGTCTCCCTGACATATCTGACATTTCATTATTTCCTAACTCTTCGTGTCTCCGTGTGCGTACTTCTGTTCATTCCAATAATTTCTATTTACAAAAGAAAGATTTAACCGATACCCGATTTTTTTTTGTTTCTGTTCCGCCACAGCACAACGTCTCGTCACTATTATCGATAAACTTCTCAAAATGTCCATAACGTCGTCAAACACACTCATTATACATGGGCACAACACTATCGTAATGCACGTGAGCTGCCAATTCCATACAAGTGGCAAATAATCATTGAACACAAGCTACGTACAATCCTTTAGCAACAAATACATGCTAGAAAAACAACAATAATAATAATAATAATAATAATAATAATAATAATAATAATAATAATAATAATAATAGTAATAATATTCATAAAAATTCGTACATTAGTCGCATGACTGAACCACGTATACCAAGTAACGTTATTGCGCAAGAAATTCACTATAAAAGCACGACCCAGCGATTACACTTTGAATCAGAGATGGGCAAACTCTTTGTATAAATACACATCTTCGATAACGAATAAAATTTAGAATTTCAATTATAGATTTATATTATATATCACGTTAGACGAACAAGAATTGTCTCGATAACTATTCGATTGAACAAACGTCGCAATGTAATTGTTGGATGCCGATTTTATTCATCGTTTACTCTGCGGATATAATTTTGTCCACCTCTGGTTTCAATGCATTTTTAATAAGTGTTGTCAACATTCAGAAGCAGGCACATCCAATAAATGAAAATCCAATCACAAGTTTCCTTGCTTCACAATAAAAAGCGAGCCAAAGATATGAAACACCTGAGAAAGATGATTCCATGTGTATCGTATCCACAGAAAATAGACGGAAAGTAATAGTTTCACAGAAGACAGTTATCACAATCAACGTAGACAATAAAGAAACAACTGATCAGTTTCTCAATAGATAGCATGACATGATTTACAATGATACAAAACGAAAGCGTGTATCTTTTATGCACGGTTCAAGTCCGTCGAAACATCCCGTCATCCTCCCGATTGAGAAACGAATGATCATTACGTTACATCTGATTGAGAGCAAGGAAATGAAAGACACATATACGCATACGTTGAACATGGTCCGATCTATTCGCACCAATTTACAAATATACAAATAATCGCTTTTAAACTGAATCACCGTTTTCATCGATATAAATGGATAATATCGTCGTTGGGGACGAACGTAACAGCCTTTCAGTACCGAGTATAAGAACGAATAAGAAATAAACAATTAAAAATAAAATTCAAGATTAAAGAACGAAGGTATCCTAGATCGTGCAAAGAAACGTTTCTACCTCTTTGTTCGCTCACAACCATACTTAACCAGCAGTCAGTCGTGTTGTATTTAAAAATCGACTAAAAAAACTACAAGCTAAATTGCAACATAGTTGCAGCATAATCACGCCAATGGTTTGTGGCAGGGTAGCGATATACAGAGGCTCTTGCGTTCATTAAATTCACTCGACATCTCTCGCTCGTTCGGCCACTCGATCTCTTCCTCTCTTTGTGGAGACACTGTTTCTTAAATTTGGAATTCATAAACAATATACAGGAAGAAGCATAACTGAACCAATAATAAAAATAGAAGGTGTATGTTACTCGTTTCAAATAGTTCTGGAACAGTGTACTACAGAGTACATACTTTAGATGCAAAACATTGTCTAAGATCGCGCTATATTCTTTCTATTTTCCTTATCGCTCACAGTGTACTGGTTCAGTTATCCTCTTCATTGTATAGCCAAGTTGCGGAATTGTATGTGTATGCGTTTGTCCCGTTAAGAGATGCGTATACATGTATATGTGTTATTCGTCAAGAGATCATGCTGATCGTCGACATCAGGGATAGGCAAAATTTTATTTGAACAATGCACGACGATTTATTTGCTACCCTTCCTCGAGAAAACAATTATTGGTTTAAGCTTCTATTCATTCCACGCGAAATATAATTTAATTGTCTAATTCCAATTGTAATTTCTATCTACGCAAGATAAAATAAGAATTTGTCCCATCTCTGGTCGACGTAAATAAGAAAACTTAAGAGACATTTGCTTAAGCATTCGAGTAACATAAAAAGATTCATTCCCTTTCAGCACAGGAGGACGACGGTCCTACCGCCTTTGTTTCTCCCTTTCTCCCCTAAGTCCCTGTCACTTCATCATTCCGTCTGTCCTTCTCCCGCTCTGGTTCACATTCCCGCGGTCCACTCTCTCTTCGACACTTTCGCACTTCTCATTCTCCCCTTTTCTCGTCACTGTAATACAAACGTAACGTCCGATTGTTCGACGATTACTTGCGCTGGCAAGCTTACAAAAGGAACAATACTTTCGGCGCGTATCTAGTGGGAAAGATACAGGTATAACGAGAGAGGAAATTCCCAGAGTTAATGGTTTCAGCTCTTATCTCTGTTTAAGCGTATTACATCAAGACACCCGACGGCCGATAATTAGCGTGTCGTTCGCAGACGAAAAACGCGCGACACGCTTAACCGCACGTTTCATCGAATCCTGGATACGCTCTCTAAGTACATCAGATCGTTTCGTCGTCGGATGTGCTTGGTCATTTTAAATAGCGGATACAACGTGCACGGACACTCACGGTACGCCAAGGCTTCGAACAACTATCGACTTTCCGTCGCATGAGAGTCGGCAGAAGTCTGATAGCATTGTCCTATAGTCGTGGAAATATGCATGCGTTCGCTAAAACATAAGCCACGATTACGATGACCGAATGATCAGTAACCATGATCAATAATTAACATGTTCGCTACCATCGTTTCAAACCGTCTACCATAGACCATACTACGCGTTTAATAATTTTAGTCAACGCAGCGCGTGCTTTCAACTATATACAAATAAAGTGTATTAAATAGGCCAATCGAATATTCTGAGTAATACATCGCACGAATGCGACACTGGTCTATAGCATTTCGTTCAACATAAAGTGGAAAGTCATCGTTGTCATACATATGTAACGCGTGGCATTGAACATGTTAATGAATGAATAATCGTTGGCTTTGACAGATTTCAAATTAGTGATTTACGATTGCGGAATACAAATGTAGTTTACAGTTAGCGACGAGTCTGACAATTGTGAGCAATTGTTACAAAAGTAATCACGTAGTAATCCCTGTCTAACGTTGCTACAGAGATCCATGCATTTGACCACCTAGATCTAACTCTCTTGCGCTGAAGAGCCGATGGTTGTTCGAAGTCTAACACGGATACATTGTCATGCCTCGATAGTGGTACGCAATCGTCGGCCAGACTAGCAGAAGTTCGGACCTTTGGACACGACAAACTGACGTTTGGTGTCGTTTACACCATCGCCCATTAATATACTCCTGCAAGGAAAATATCTCTGCTGACTAGTCGATTAAACAGGCGCTTCTTTGAGTCGAACGTTCGTTTTGTTACAAATTCGTGGCCACTTGGACGATGCTACTATTTTGTTTAATTCTAGGATGAAAGAACTATTACACATCGATTAAACGTTTATAATCTGTTCCGTCATTTTTTTTCTTTTTATCGGGGCAGCGATTATCCAACGAGACGCAACATCGCCGCGACAGTTTTCTTGGTTTGTTATCGTCGGTGCCCTTTATCAGTCTAACGATAGCATATTTACTCCTGCAACTACTGGTATACTTACGGCGATACATGCATTTTACTTTCGAATAGTAACTTTCTTGTACACCTATACGTAATACGTTTATTGGTAATATTTAGAGATATGGACATGTTCATCTATCGCTCTTTATGTGTAACACCCTTCCGCGGGTACGACGAAGAACGAAAGGACGTTTTGTGAAAACTTGGCATAGTTTACGTGCTTCAAACACCTCGGGGGGTAATTCTTTATCTTAATATCTACATCGTGTATGCTGTAATATGTATCATTAGGAAGTCCCATCTATTTTCGAAACATGAGAGAAACGAAGGTGTATCGAAGAATCGCTTTATCGTTAATCAGTCTGCAAACAAACGAACGGTTGATGAGGCACGAATTCACCGATGAACAATTTTAACGAGTCCAGTGAAATGATTCGTTTAAAAGACTAACATTCGTGTATCGCGAATTTGTAACAAAACGTTGTAACGCCGACGTACCAAAACGCTCTTACTTGATCGTTTAATCGGCAGGGCTGCCAAGATCCTTATCTCCTTTGCTATCAGCTTCGCGGGTATACTCGCATTAAGTATCTCTTCATTCCTTGGGTGCATTTCGAGAACATCCACAGGGATTTCTATACATATATATTTATATCACTTCGTAACCCCTCTTCCTCTCGTAACTTTGTGGAAATAACTTATTAAACAAGTCCTCGACAAAGTTCTACACAAAGTAAGTTCGTAGGACTGTTATCGGTATCACGTTCATTTTTACATTTTTTTTTTTTTTTGTTCTCTTTTCGTATTTCTTTTCCGACTCGAATCCAATATTGTTGACGTCGATCCGGCGTTTCGTTTGAAGGAAATTCTGTTTGTTTGTTTCCTCGGGTGATTTTCATTGTTTTAAAATCAGTGCTATATTGATGTATAATCAATTACAGGCATACTTTGGTTTTCTATCCGTTACACTCTTAGTTAGGTGTGTTCATCAACACACGTGTTCCACGAATAAAAACGAAATTTGTTCGAAACTAGCAGAATTCGCTTCGTAGACGATACTTTCGACTCGAGGTAAGCGTTTCTTGCCTCGAATCTTCGCGTTTGGTGGAACACGGATCAGTTGTATTATACGTACGTATAATTTGTCGACATCTCTACATCGTACTACGAAATTTTTTTCACGGTAGACGATTAGAATCTACAGACAAAAAACTTTTACGTTCTTTTTGTCTTATTCCCTTTCGATATGTTATGTAAAATGTAGCGTGAATTTTGCGACCTATTACGCTTCTCGCGTGATAATTTCGCGGAAGGCATGAAACTGAAGTCGATGTACTTGGAATTTTCTTTTTTTAAGTTTCTTCTGTTTAAGTAATGACTCTGAGAGATGGGCATCATTTTTATTCTAATAATTGAGGGCAGATAATAGCACCACGTAGTGGTTTATTCTATTGAAATAAGCTTTTATTCGTTAAACCGTAATATGATTTTATTTTAGAACAAATGACGGATCAAAAGTTGTAATATAGATAATAATTTTGCCCATCTTTAATGACTACCAATTTGAACGTTTATTTCGAAGCGATGCGGATCTCGCGCGCATGGTAAAAAAAGTATACAGTGACTTCGTGTATAACGGCGTACTTACATAGAGCAACGACAGGCAGTGTCGGCGTAAAAAATCGTTATGTAAAATAAAGATTAATCAACTAAGGTTACGATGAGCACAATCCAGCACGACCTTGGAGGCTACTTATCGATAGCGATAATACTGTTATACGATGCTTCGTGTACTCTATGAAATTAAAGGGACAATTCATCCTAAATTGAGGAGTCTCGTTCGACCAAAGGTCGGCAAACTGCGACAGGTAGTTTTTGACCACAAGGTTTGGTACATCTTCAACTAAACGAAACCATCACTGTCTGTTGGACTGATGTTTTACTCGAACATAATCTCTTTATTGTAAGTGTACAAAATAATTTTTCAGCACTCTTGTGTAACTTTCTTTATACAGGTATATATCCTTCTCTTCCATTTCCAACATTTTGTTTATATTTATATTTCCTTTATATACCGAAATGGACCAAAAACCTAGGGTCAAAAACTTTTGGATGAACCTTAACTCCAGCCCTGGAATCGTTCACGCCCTTCGAAAGGTTTGCTGATTCCTGTATTGAACAACTGATTTAGTTTGAAAAAAAATATACATGTCGGTTACAAATAGACGACAAGATCCGACAAAATTACATCGATCGCGGTACGATGAACTATCTCACGCGATCCACGAACGTTTAATACTTTGTCAAGCCGGATGCGTTCGGTATCGTCGATCATAGCGAGCGTACACGCGAACGACGCATTGGTCCTTTCAGTTTCATGCCTTTCCCCGGAGCTCGATCAGACGTCACGAGCGTCGTTAAACAAGCAGGAGTACACGAGTACGCGCTCGTTGTCCGGGACGATTAAGAGTGAAATGAGATCTCAGCTTCAATTCATTTACGATTTAATACACGTATCGTAACATATTTTTTCTTTCATTTTTTTTTTGTTTTTTTTTTTCCTTTTTCTATTTTTTTTTTTTTTTTTTTTTAGTTTTAATTTCGCAGTAATCGGCGTTGGTTGTTGAATGATTTGCCAGCCGGCGGTACATGATTAATAGTGTCGTAGGCACAAACGCGTTCTTTCACCATCGGCACGTCAATTCCTTACTTCTTACGTGTACGTTGGTGATGGACACCGGATTTTTGCCAGTACTGAATGTTCGTCGGGGCCGACGACGACGGCCACGGGAACTGTCCTTAATCAACGGTGACGAGTTACAAGTATGTATGTATATATCGTTAACAACGACTGTTGATTCAATAAACGACGATCGTAAACGAGATATGACAATGATAATCATAGACGATGACAATAATAATAATAAAATAATAATACAATAATCGTGATAATAATCATAATAGTAATAATAATAATAATAATAATAATAATAATAATATTAATAATAATAATAATAAACGTAAGAAGGAAAGGAAGAAGAGCAAAAGTTAATCGTGACAATAGTAATGATAATAATAATGGTAATAATAATAGCAGTAATAATGATGGCTGTGTGGTGATTTAATTTGATAACGGTGGCTACGGGCGTGTCATCGTGGCGATGGTGTGCAGCACCGAATCTCAAGAAGCGGACCGACTTCCGGCACGTAGCTAGGTAACGGCTGCCCTCCTTCCCGCATCGGCCGCAGCTTCTCTGGTCGCGGTGGTCCCGTCGCGTTCACCGATTCGCACTGCCGCTGCGATACGTTCCTTCTTCCAAACTTCATCCTCACTGTTACACACGCACTGTAGTGCCACCTCGTGAACGAGGAGAACAGTCACTTTTGCCTTCCACTTTTCTTCTTCTTCCGTTTGAAGAAGCAACAGCATCTGTAAATAAAGCCAACACTAATAGGACTTAGAGTCGTCTTCTTTTGATCGCCTTATTGCTAGGACACCAACATGCAGCACGACAAGAAGGATGCATTCCAAAGCGGCGTATGGCACAATCTGAGCGCCAGTCTTTCGCGAAACGAGAGATCAGGCTAGATTGGTTAAAGAGTGTGTCCAGACGCAGAATCAATGCCGTGAGTCATGCGTCGAGGTATAATAAAGAGTATAATAGGAGAAAAGACGAGGAAGGCGGTTTCCGTAGATGTTGCGGCTAGGTTTAGAAGTATTCGTCTGTATTTGAATGTATGAGTGATTGGTACATTGATTTCAAGAAATGAATGTTCGACATAATGTAAATTAAACATTGGTTTTCTTGTTTGAAATAACAAAACTCTTCCCTTAAGGGGGATAACGAGGATGGTGGGGTGAAAGGCATTTATTGGATACGCGACGGATCTTTCGATCGATAACAATGGTTAAGGCAAGTTATGTTTGGCTTTAATGTTATGCAGTAGGAAATTCTGTATTGGCCACTTGTGCTGGAATAGTAAACCAAATTCAGGGATTGGTTTAGGATCAGCGATGGATGTGCGGGAGTGTGAACTTCGGCGTAAGATCTTTCCGCATCCGCGACAACGCTTTTTCGTCGAGAAAGGTTCGAGTCTGAAATGGGATAGACAGGAGATTTAACATTTATCATGCAGAAGATACAAAGAACGAGTATAACATTTTAGTGTGAAAGAAAACGTGACATCATTTTGGAGCAGCAAATATTGGCCATTTATATCATTAAATAACACTTCTAACTATGTTCAGATTCATTTGATACTGTACAATTTATCATCGTTCATTATAGTTCGATTATCTACCGAACGACCTTGAACAGCCAATATTTTCAGCCCAATATATAATATAATTCTTACAAACTTCTTGCCGTGTTAGTACACCATCTAAGAATTATTAACATTCGTTTGTGTTACAGATTCTCAATGAATCAATTAAGAAAAACACACATACATGCGATATTTACAAAATACACATCAGAAACAGAATTAAAAAGATTCCCCAGTGGTAACACTTTTTCCATAAAAATTCTACCAGAACAGTTATTCCTCTAGATAAAAAACGTACGTTACGATAGAATTTTTATCCACAAAAGTGTAACAATTTCTTTCGATCCCCGATCGAAAGTGTTAGTTTGTTCCAATCGTCATTTATCACGGTTGCCAAAACCAAGGCGAAGTAATCCACTCGCGAAGAAACGACGTGTGTAGAAAATCAGTAATCTACTTATTATACGAGTTAGTCAAGTTAAGTCAATTATAATACTAACTTGGTTTCGTCGACCATGTCCACTTCTTGAGGTGCTGTAATCGGTGTGTTCGAGTGTCCTGCGGTGGGATCGTCGTTTTGCAACTCCCCGTTCGTTGAGGACACCACCTAGATACACGACAAAATTATTGTGAGAAACGTTGCACACGTGGACACACCCAGAGGATATAGATTTACATAAAAAACGAAACTATACGTTCAATTACTGAAAAATGTGACAATCGACATGGGAACTTTGTACACCGTGAAGTTAAAATGGATTTTAGAATACTCTACGAGACTAACGACACGAGATACATACGTAACATACGAACCATTCATTACGAAAGTGCCATAAATTGTGCCAACAGACGTATCTTGTTATTAAACAAATAAATCAATGCCTCTTTTATATGGAAACTCCATACTTCAAAGAGATGGATTCAACGGGATTTACGCCACTTTCATAAAGAACGACTCGTGTATGTTTGTTCGTGTACACATGTACACGTATATACAAGACTCTACTCCAAAGGAATACGATTGCAATTTACGTGAAACAACAGATTAATTAAAAAAAAAAAAAAAGCCCGGCTAAAGACATAGTATAACCAATTAACTTGATTAAAAAGTTGCTCGTCTCGAAAAACAGACAACTCGGTGTTACGTTTCCCCGCGCGGGTAATTAAATGCGAACGCGACGGTGTTGGATTAGTGTGGTGAAAAATCAGTGGTAAGTCGATCAACGAAACAATGTCAACATGCTGCAACAAACCAACTCGCAATAGACGTCTGACTGACCATATTCCATTGGCGCTTTGTCTAGAAATAGAGCGAACAGTTTACTCGCAGACGCGTTACAGCGTCGTCTTCCTGGCTGAGAAAGTCGCGAAACGATAGGAATTGGACGACGGAAAATCTATGAAAATGTCGCCTGCGTTCCAACTATTTTTCTTTCAGAAGTTTCAATGTTTTAAAAGAAATTAGAGGCACCGTTAGCGCATACAGACATGTACAATATTTTTTTAAAGCGTAGCTTTCGATCAACACACCGTGGTTATCTTCGGTGGAATTAAACAATTAAGCAAAGAATCGCGAATAATATTTTTGTATACTATGGAAGTGATGGGCACAAATCTATTTATCTCTGCCGCGAGATAATAACAGGTTTTGCATTTTAATCGACTGAAAAATATTGATAAGAGCTAGCTGACTTGTTTGCGGTGCCCGTGTGTTACTTTATCACGTGTTTAAAGAATGTAGAGATTTTTATCTATCGCAGAATTTGTAGTTAAAATGAAATTTTGTCGTACGAGAGGCTTTGAAGTGTAACCAATGTTGTGATAAAAAAAAAAAAAAAAAACAGTCACCTTGTATAGGTGGTGTCGTATTTTATAAGGAAAGCAATATTAGTGTACTCACAAATTTTCAACGATGTCGAAGTAATCGCAGTTGGAGACAAAGTAACGAAAGGGAGATTCATAAATACTTAAAACAAATAGATAGAAAAACGTAAGGAAAGTGATATATACAAGTATGTACAAAGACGTGAAATAGTGAAAATAAACATGAAAGGAAAGTAAGAGAATGTTCTCACTTTTGCTCGGGATCTTAAATAATAGAATGTGATTTTGGAGTTCAATCTGAGAGGAAAGAAATGCTGTATCAAGAAATCACAAACACATCACACGTTCTTACGATTAATTTATGATCCGAGAATGAACATTCCAAACGCGCTTGGCAAGGCCACGTTGAGTACTTATTCTGTTTATTGTTCAATTCCATCGAAAGTTCTGACTTTAAAGAAGTAAGGCTCGAACGGGCCAACGATACGTCTGAATTCTTTCGAGACATAAGAACTTATGTAGGTCATTTCCAAGTTAATACTGAACGAATGGAACGAGTTATGGTCGCATGATTACTGACACGGTGTATACCGTGTCTCAAAGTTCTAAATTCGACTGGACACAGAACACAAGAAAAAGAAACGATCTTTTGGATGGACGAATGTCGTCAGACATTGGCGGGCCAAAGGATCGCAAGGTCCACTCACCTGTACCGAACCATGCCTGTCAGCAGGTGTCAATGTACCACCAGCTCCAGATTGCTTCAAAGTATCTGGCCACGTGGTTCCCACCCCTTTACCGCCCTCTCCTCCCACCCCTGCACCTGTCGCATCCTAAAGGAACAAGCACGAGAATGTCCAAATTTCAACGCGTTAGCCAATACAATAAAGAAAAAAAAATATTTAAAAAATACGTAGCCAAAGGCGTAAAAACATCGCAAAATCGGCCGATAGACAGTTTTAATGGTGAGTCCGTTTTTCTCAAAAACGTGAGTTATCGTACCGCGAACGAAATTATTTCTGTTCTCAGCTCGATTCGCGGCAGTGTGACCTTTCGAATACGTTTGAATACGTTCGTGATAATACTGATGTATACTATTATGTACAGATGCTAATGAACGGTCTTGATCGAATCGTGAAATCTTAACAAATATACCTAGTGCGTACGAGCTACGTGACTAACTACGTCAAGTTTGATGATCGATACTGGAAGTACTAGAGGATTGCCAACGGGGATCTTAAGTACAACGTTTCGTCCTACGACGCTTCTCCACGCATGTGTTCCAGCTCGAGATGTTAGTTTATCTAGCGATATTCGCTATTGTCAAAGCTCTCGGCGAGGATACTCGACGTTATTGGTCTCTCATTAGTCGTAGAGTGGAGGTACCAAACGCGGCTATTTATGACGTTATATAAACTAACGCAAAATAAAGACTGTTTCGTTCAGAAATGCTGATGGACTCGTTTGTGCTCTATCAAAGATTCCACGATTCATAAATGGTGTAAAAACGAGCAAGATGGCCGGTATTATTCTTTCTGGCCCACACAGTTATCAGACCATACGATAAGAGGTTCTCGTGAGACGACTCCACAGTTTAATTTATTCAGAACGCTCGGTTCCTTTCTAAAGAAAATATGAACCTGAAGATTGTGCTCCAGCTACTGACTATTCGATTGCAAAAACTCTGCTGATAGATTCTGGCAATGGCACTTGGCATCTGACCGTAGGACAATTTCAATCTGTATCACAATTTTGACACTCGGCCCTTCTGGTACTCCCACTTTATTACATGTTTACCTTCCATCGTTACAAGTGTCATGTGAATTCTATTTTTAAACGAGGTTCGATGGAACCCCGACAGTGTTTACTATACTTCAAGACACCTGGTTATCGGCATGATAACCGGCGATCGCGTAAATACGCGTTCATGTAACTAGAAATCTCCGAGCATCAGCCCGGATGTCTTCGATAAGATAAAACATGCATGGAGAAGCAAGAGAGCAACATTACAAAATTTAGATGGCTTACATAGTTGCCTTGCATTTCGATGTGAACCTCATCCAACGTGAGGACTACATCTTCCTCAAAATCATCGCATTCCTATACACCGAGGATTTCCGTGTTTCGCAAAGAAACAAAACCATTTAGATTCACTTGGCTGCTTTTGGAACGATCTTAAAGAAAACGATCTGACAACTTTCGTCAACTGATTCTAAGAAAGATACTTGAGTCTTTCAGCCCGGGTTTTTCATGGTTGGCATTAATTTGGGCTCCTGGATGTAAGCTCAAATGATGTACCGATACTGGCGATGATCCATTCACTACCAATCTCCAAATTCACGACACAAGTCACTGATCCGACTTGTGTAAGATGTAGACTGCGGATCTTTATGCAAAATAAAATCTTCGCGAACGTGCCTACAAAAACTGAACTTAAATAGAAATTTATTTTATTCTGCAAATATTATAACACAAACTTTACTTTCAATCTTTTTTATATTCTTGCATATTGTTTGAATGTTGTAGTTTCTTGTACATTAAAATTTCCTATAAATGCATAAACATCCGCAGTCTATTGATCACTAATAGAAGCTGATACGATTGTTTGACTGAACAACAGTTTTTGATCAGAATGTTTTTAATTGCTCAACCGAGCAATCGTAACTTTCATTGGCGTTCAGTGAACCGTCCCACGAGCTTAGTAATTGGTAGTCAATGGACCATGCCATAATCGCAGCTACCAACGACGTAAATCAGATATATCAGTTTATCATTTGGCCCCTGAAGAAGCTAAGTGCAATCTCACCCACAGGACACAGCTTAGATTCAGCAAGCCTAGTTAACATCAACCATGATTCTACACAGATCATCACTTGCAATCGTTAATCTTTTCATCGAAACGATTATGAATCTGTCCAGGTACTAGTGACGTGAATGTTCATGCGGTTATTCGAAATAGTTAAGCTTCACACAATCATGCTCGGTTCAAATAAAAATGAAGAAATACGCGCGTCGCACGCGAGACGTACCTTATAGGGATGTCGATCGCGATTCGGCGATACGATAATCTCCTGTCCGGTCTGCAGCGATCCGACAGGCGTAGTCTGGAAAATAAGCACAAACATTATATTTAAACGACAAACTTCGTCGAGTACGTGTGCGTCTACGGATAGAATAAAATTAATATCGCATAACATACTTCGAATCGAGAAACAAACGGTGGTATTCGACATTGTTTATTTCCGAACGCAGCTCTTCTAACCGAAGGGAGGAGGGCAAAATCTATGTTCTCTCGTTAAGTGAATTAAAATTACACAATATATTACGGTTAAGATCTTCTGCAAAAAGAAAGCATCCAATTTAGTCAATTCAACTGGTTATACTGGTGAAAGTGATGGTGAGTTTAAAATACGATCTGGAGAACTAAGGTAAGGTGCTCGCGCGTTCATCAGGTACTCGCAATTTTAACATAGTAAATATTTGCCCGGCGAAATCGAGCGCGTCTACCTTGCATTGAAGTAGACTCTTTTTGTTTTTAACAAGCAAGCTTCTTAGGGACAAAGGAGAAAGAGCCTTATCGATGGGCATGCGCCAGCAACGAGACTACCCATAAATACCGCGTGAAACAGTCGTGCCGGCGTACGTGTAAATGAAATAGTTTAACAGAGGAGACGAGGGATGCAGGATACGCGCATAATAAATACCGTACAACTTTCGTGCAATATTCAGGCAGGCGTAGATGCGAATCTCGGTCGGGTACGAGATATCGCGTTTCAGAAGAGAAATAAGATTTTTACGCTCGACGAAATAAAAGTCGATAAGCTCCCAGTATCGTTCCGTGCACATTACGAGCAACACTCTTCGAGCGCGGTTACGCTTCTCTGTAGCTAACTAGATACTGATGCAGCAACGTCATCCATTTTTTCTTTTACTATTAACAGAAAGTCTCTTGAGTAGCTTCGATTCGAGTTCATTCGAATTGCAACAACGTGTGCTTTCGTATGTAGGGTAAGAGAAAAATCCGTGGCTCGCGTAACGTCACCCACCTCGTCGGACTTGGTCTTCCCAACGTGAGAGGGAGGAGCCATCCGAAGAGCTTTAAGTTGTTCGAAGTTTTCTGGCTACAGATACATTGAGGGCAGCATGCAAACGTAAAAAGTCAGTGAAATACGGTGTTACCAGAATGAAACGGAATGAGTCGACGTTGAAGGGGCCCGTAGGCCGACTTACTTACCCCTGAAGAGACGATACCTCGGAGTTTCAACTATGAACGAATCAACGTGTACACTAGGGTGGTCCTCGTGGTAAAATCGCGATATGTTCAATTTTTTCCCTTGTACATTTTTCGTCTAGCTTCTCAATAGAATCAATCGTGCTCAAAGTTCTCGGAGACTAATGGAAGTACTTTACAGAGATAAGGACCACCCTGAAGTACATTGTCCAAACGCTTGTCCGAATATAAATCTGTTAAAAGACAATTCATTGGCAAACGTGTTTAATTTACGCGGTTCACCAACAATCCCGACGGTAATACATTGTGTTAACCAGGAGTTGAGATGATTTTTAGCAACAAAGGTATCTCCGACGCGGACTGCTCGATATCGACTCTTGCGATGCGCGCCTGACCTTCGCGAGTTCCCCTACTATTCTGTTCTTCCAGTTCTTGCATGCATTGCCGGGAAATGAAATAAAAAAGGTGATCTAGCGGTGGATCACTTCAACAATGGATCACACACCATCGTCTTGCCGGTCCAGTCGAACTCGCCGTCGTTGACGAAACCCCTCTTCTCCGCTAGATCGCTGAAGAGCTTCCGCAGGTATTCGTAGTCGGGCATCTCGAAGAAGTCCAGTCTGCGCACGTATCGCAAGTAGGTGGCCATCTCTTCGGGGTGACCGTCGCAGAGAACCTCGATAGGGGTGTTCCGCTTCGTGTCGCCTATCTTCTGGTACCGTTCCTTCAGGGTGTCAGCCTTCAGCCCCTGCCACGGCAGAGTACCACGCAGGAAGTACATGAACATGTGCCCTAGGGCCTCCAAGTCGTCTCTCCGACTCTGCTCTGTTTAGCAAAACAAAAACGAACAATGCTCGCGTCATAATTTCTTCGAGTTTCAAGCCTTGGAATCATCTGGACCCTTTGCGCTCTAGGCTTTTTTCTCTGGTATCTACCGGCAACTCGCGATGCTTTCTTAGCATTCTATTGCCACGAATGCTAAGCTTAGATCGACTTCGAAGATGAGATCTCTAATTTGACATTTGAAAATCAGGCCAACCTAACCCCTTCGGCAATCATTTTATTGGCACTTCGAGTTTTAATGAAACTAAACGTACGCAAGCATTATTGCTGGCTGATTTACTGCGTCAAATCTGGTCCACCTCTCGAGCGCAAAGGGTTAAAGGTATAGAACTTGTATGAAATTGGGATTCGAAAGTTTTGGTTTTATATGATCGATAGTTTTCTCAAAGAAAAGGAAGAATAAATCTTGAGAATATTTCTAGAAAATAGTCAGGAATTTCTATGGATGCCTTCTGTGATTGTTATGGTTACAATCACGATCAACTCGTCACAAATTACCTTTTCCCAGATGCGTGTTGATACTCATATAACGCGCCGTGCCCGTAAGGCTTTTGTGTTCTCGATAGGGTATATGTTTGTTCGTCTCCAGGTCTATGTACTCTTTGGCCAATCCAAAGTCGATGATGTGAATGACCTTCTCCTTTTTGTTTGTGCATCGTCCTATCAGGAAGTTCTCCGGCTTGATGTCCCGGTAGATCAGGTGACGACTGTGAACGTACTCTATCCTATGGAGCTGCGCAGACAAGTTTAAGATTACACGTTGGAGTTTACTGCATTTTATAAAGCATATTACTGAAAATATTCTTAACGACTCTGGATTCATGAAACTAGATGTAAAATGGATCGAGTCTAATATAAGTTACAGCTAGTTCCGAGTTAGATATTTCAGTATTTTTCAAGATAGAAGGTGCCTATGCAATCTAAGACAAAAAAAAATGTCAAGTAACTCTAAGTACTTCACACTCACAGAATTGGATTTCGTCGCGTAACGAATGATTTCACTACCTAACGCAAAAACTGTAATATCAAGGTTGAAAGCCCGACGCAGCCTAGACGGTGGTCCAAGCAATTCATCCCTACCTTACATCAATAAACCACGGATCCTAAAACGAATTATCCCAACGAAGCGAAACGCACACGCGCAGAAATTGGCAAGTTCGAGGGGACATCAGGATATCCTTTTGGGGATTCAACTATCGAGACGATCGAGACTCTAATCCAAATGCAATCCATGCAAATTGCTCCCCGGGGTCGCGAGACGCGAAACACGTTAAAACTGATCCGTTAATTTCACTTACGAGTTGTGTGGCGATATTCAAAACTGTCTTCAGCGTAAACCTCCTCCCGCAGAGATCGAAGAGGTCCTCCAGACTCGGGCCAAGCAGCTCCATCACCATGGCGTTGAATTTCCCGCATGGGCCGAAGTAATATACTTCCGGTATACCCTCTACTTGCGTGATATGAAACGCATAAAACAGAGCGTGCAGACTATATAATTAAAGTTTGCATCGTTCGCGCGGTGTGTGTTTGTTGGCTAAATTTTATAGTATTCGTTCTAGCACCACAAATTAAGACCAGAGATTAGAGGCAACGATTTGTTCGCCATTTTTAATAGGGTATATCTAATAGGGAAGATTGTCTATCGAAAATATGTGTGGTAAAAGAGTAATATTTTCTGGTACACCCTATAGTATATACATTGATTAAATTATTATGTATTTGAAACGTGAACACTCACCGTGGGTACCTAATAATTTGTAAAACCTATATTCTAAATGAAGTTGCGGTGCCTTCGACCTCATCGGCTCCTGTAGATATAAAAAAGAAACAAAGGGTTAAAACATGAGAAATTTGTAGAAATCACAATGGTAACTCTAACGACTCGATAACGTAAACATTATTTATGTCCTTCAGAATGATAAGTATTACTTCTAACATTGCTTATTCTTAAAAGAAAATATAATATAAATCAATATTTTAAAATAGCTACAGCTTTCATTCTGAACGACCAAGCAATCTTTGCAATCATTAATTTAACTTCGCTTGTAAAAAAAAAAAAAATAATCTAGATTCGAAGGTTAAACGATAATCGTTTCAGATAAATGGTGACCCAAATCGTAAGGCACTCACCATTTTAATAGCTATGTGCTGATTATTGTAGACATTCTTCCCTGAAACAGAATGAAAGGTAAAAGGTCAATACACGTTCCAATGATCAGGCCAATTACGCATGTCGCACGCCAAGCGAGCTTATTAATACTTTTTGCACGCCCCGCGAACGTTACTAGTACCTAATGTATTCCGCGTACGAGCCGAGTGTAAATATTTAATTATACTCGTCGCAACTGTTTTACGCAATCGCGGATATCAGTCCCGGGTGTGTCTCGATCCATATAACGATTGCACTCTCCTCGATGAAGGCATTGATAAACGCGTGCTCCCTGAACGTTGCAATTATCAAAACGTCGCTATCACTATCGGCATAATTACGCCTGAGAAACATGGAAAATTAACAGATACGATTGCAACACTCTTCCTCCGATCGCGTCTAGTATTAATTGAAAAGAGAATATCAGAAAAACGAAAAGAAAAAAAAAATACCGAAAGGAAAGTGAGCTTATATTTCGTTTCACTTTAGATTTAACAGGCACGATTACGTCAACGTTCATCCGACGGATTCTTTCGTATATTAATTAGAGAGAATCAGAATTAGAAAAAAAAATGATTGCGTCACTGTTTCTCCAACGGACCGTACAGAGTGTTAATTAGAGTGCGTCAAAATTGGATCGAGGAAAAGTATCGAAAGAAAAGCGAAGGTAAAAATTATCTTCTTCACAAGGACCATCACAGTCGAAAACGTTCGCGTAGAAGTATCCTAAACACGGCTATGGCAATTCTACATTCAGAATCAACTTCCTTCGATGATTGCACTTGGCGCGAGCAATTGAATTGGCCAGATTTGTGGGCTAACATACGCGGTGGTTGCGGTATGGTTATCGGTTATTAATTTCCACAGCGTTCAATCGTGGACTTTAAATGTATTAATAATTCAATTTCAACGCGGATGGATCGTGTTCCGTTCAACAGGCTCGCGAACACCGCTGGATTGAACAATCTGGAAAGAGAGGATTCGTCATGATCCGAATTAGCATTACTGTACCGAGAACGGTGCTACTTTCGGCGACCTTACGTGACGTCAATTTCGTGACGCGAATATCCTCGACAACTTTTACCCTCTACTGGAGCCGCTCGGGCTACGTGCACGCGGTGTTTACTTAGGGGTGTTACACATTTTAAGCAGAACGTAGGTAAACATTCTGTATACGGCGCTGCGTGATTCACTCCAAGTTTTATTTGGCGCAGCGTTGGTTATTTGCGGCAAAAACGATCTTTCTCGTCGGATCTTTATACCAAGCTAAATTCTTTTATATTGTCTTTTAAGTGTGTAATATCTATAAAAAACTAAATGGTAGAGGTGGACGAGGACATACAGGAAATTCAAATACCCGAAGGTAAACATCCTGTCTATATATATTTCCCTATGACTCGCTCCAGGATTTATTTGAGCCAGTGTTTGTTATTTATGGTAAAAATGAACTTTCTCTTTGGATGTTTATGCAAAGCTAGATCTTTCTATATTATTTTCTAAATAAGTAGTATATATTAGGTTGTCCCAAAAGTTTCTTTCGTGAGTTGCATTCAATTATTTTCTGTGGCAGTATTTATATAAATAGACAATCTAATTTCTTAGACATCGATGCTGTAACAGTAACGGAGCGAAATAACATGTACACAATTTTGTAACGTAACATAAAACATAAAATATTGTGTATGTATTAATTATTAATAAAACGAAAGAAACTTTTGGGACAACTTAATACTAGGAATAAATGGTGGAAATGAAGAAAAAAACAGACACGAAATTTAAATATCAGAAGTTAAACACAATGTATGTATATTGTTCGCCCATGACTCACTTCAGGTTTTACTCGCGGCACTGCTAAGTCATTTATGCCAAAAATAAGCTTCCTCGTCGGTAAATTAAACCAAACTACATCTTTTTTATGTTATCTTCTAAACGAGTAGTACCTATCAGCAATAAATAGTAGCAGTAAATAAGAACAGACACGAGATTTGAATATAGGAGAACGCACAACCAAATCGTCAGAAAAATGACGATTGCTAGATTGCAAACATATTTATTCCCCGTATTTGTACGTAACGGTACGGGTCAGACTTGACCCGACTCCGGAGAGGGACGATTAAGGACGACAATTGAAGGCTGTAATCGGCCGGATCGCGAATGCATCAGGCAGGAATGTAATTGAAGAGTGCGCCACGTCGATGAATCAGTGCCCGGATCTCACGTGCCGCGTCAGACGAGCATAATGCGTGCATGTAAGCGTACAAACGCTAGTCGTGGTTCGCGGCGTGCAGCACGTGACGTTGTCGCACACGTGCAGATACGTGCCTCGCGAATCGAATCGAAAACAAATCGATCATTTTTATAACACTGTCCTCGCAAAAATTCACCGGAAAACGGGATATTTTTAGGATTTATTTTTGGGCAAAGCAAACAGCACAGAGCGAACAAATTTGTTGAGGTGGAGTTGGGGATCGTTGAAGATAATAAAAATAAAAAAAATCGTATGAAGTATATTATTCGATGATAAATGATAGAAAAATGCTTGAAGCTTGCGAGGTTTATCCTTCAAAGCATGAGATTGAAATTCTTGGAGATTAAAAAGAGAGAACAATGGAACATTTTCCCCAATCACCATCATCGTCAGGTCCCTCTCTAAAAGCCATCATCCACTAAACCTCACGCAGTATAACATTTTTTCACCGACTTTAATGGTGACCAAACCCAGTCCAACAAGTTTCGTTACTCCGTGCAGTCAACTGTTTCAGAAATAAAATCTTGATAGTGATCCTTTCGTCGAGAATCTTTATGGGAGGTAGCAACGAGTTTCGTATCGAGGAGTTGTTCGGATCAAGTCCCGTGGCCGCGAGTCGCCGACGATGCAGAAACAGAAGTTCATCCAGCAGAAAAAGGCGGCGCCCGTTTGTCCGCTGCAATCCTTTTCTTACTCGCAACAGCTACGCGCTGATCCAATTCCACTAATTGTAAGCAGATCTCGGACAATGGAAAATATGTCAGCAGAAAGCCGCAAGAACCGCGGAAATTCCTACCAGCTACGAATACCGTTGGAAAAATTGATCTGTCCGTCGAAAATAGGCCGACTCCCACCGCTGCGACGATGAATTCTCTGAAATATGCATTCCAGAAACGTGGCTCCACGCTCGACGCGATTAAACGACACAGGAAGCTTCCATGGAATATTCTATCGGGATGCTTAGACCCGGATCCTTATCCTTTCATCCGCTTATGGACAAATTGTACGTGATACGCGACGGTCTCCTATCACTTACCTCGTTATCTCAGATTCGAGCAACACGTATCGCTTCACCTAATAGTAGGTTATAGATAGGCTTTTTTTATAATGTCTATGTTTATAGGAACCTATTAACTGTTGGTTATCTATTTACAGTGCTCGATTTGAGGAAACGAACGAGGAAATTTAATTACTTTGTAACAATATACACGAGTTAGTCTCAGTCTATATTAATATATATTAGGGTGAGCCAAAAGTTCGTGCGTTCTTTACGATGTTTCAGTTTGTGCAATTTTTTGAAGTCATTTAAATTACTTTATATGCAAGTGTTATACATCATTTTGTAGCTTTTGAAAAGCTGTCTCATATTTAATTATCAGCTACGTTAATTTATTCATGGAACAGTATTCGTATAGATCATGAGAAATTTCCAGATTCGAGTACTTTTACGCCACTACTGGAAGGAAGAGTTTAAAGCTACTGAAGCAGCAAAAAACTATTATATTCAGTAGCTTTTAAACTCTTGCTTTCAGTAGTGACGTAAGAGTACTCGAATCTCAAGATGTTCCTTGATTTGACTAAAACGCAAAGAAAATTAATGTTGCTATTAATGAAATATGAAAGAGCTTCTCAAAAGCTACAAAATGATATATAACACTCGCATATGAAATAATTTTAACGACTTCAAAAAATTGCACAAACTAAAACAACGTAAAAAAACGCACGAACTTTTGGTTCACCCTAATAGTAAGTTCTCTTCTCTAACTCCACCGATACAAAGCTTCAACTATATTTTTTAAAATAGTATTCATCCCTTCCTTCTCTAATCTCGAAGATATAGTAGTGTCGTACTATGCTGGACACGTGTACACTAAAAATCGCAAAAGCCGAGAAGAAAGTCTTGAACAGCACTTTTCCTATTCCAGCTTGTCTGCAGTTTCTCTAAATCGATGCACGCCATTTGTCGCGGCGCCATTCTATCAATTGCACTGGGTTAAAAAGTTATCAACCAGCTGATCCCCGATTACTTTAAACAGGACAGAATCGACAGCGCGTTGCTATGCAGCGCGAGCTCGAAACGGGAACGAAAAGGAAAAACTTGAGACGGTTTTTCCGCTCCACGTGCGTCGCAAAGGCCGAATAGTCGCGTCGCTTTCTCCCTAGCGTACGCATAATCGACGCTAATTACGTAAAGCAGAAATTACGAAACGATCCCCAATTCTTGTTTGTTTTTCGCACGGTTCAGAGACCCGACGTCGCGTGACGCGCGGAACTTTGTCCAACACTTTGACGACTAATTCATGGCTTTTTAATTCTAGTGTCTATGTACAGAGAATCTACGTTGTTGGCTGTGCGTTTACTATGTTCAGTTTGGAGAGACAAGGCTTTTAATATACCTAGTGTATCCTAGTATATACCAGTTAATTCCCACCTGGATTAACACTACAGCTATCGAGGACATTGTATATGTGTTAAACATGCTACTAGCTTTAAGATCAGAGGAGGAAGGAGTAAATCAATTTATCGATATTAATACTGTTTTAATAATTGTCGTTAAAAATTGTAGCAAAGACATGGTTGATGACCGAGTAGTTTTAAAAAAGAAGTGCTACATACACGGGTGAAATTGACTTGGTCGCAGGAAAATGGCAAAAGTCAATTTTCCTTCACCTGAAGATATAAAGGATTTACGTTTCAAACAGCACACCTTCAGAATTAATTAACCTTTTACTTCCTTATCACTCACTCGTATCTATGCATGTTATATTACTGTA